AAAGGGCTGATCTATAATAAAGGGAGTCATTTCTTATTAACTGGGAGAGCTGCCCCATTACTGCCACTGGAGAGTTTTCTGGATATAGTAAATCAGAAACCAAAGTTGTTGTATCTCCACCCAGAGTAGAGCATTGCTTTTTGGTTGAGTCACTTGCCAAATAATTTGTGGACTGTGGGTAGCTTAATAAAATATTGAACTGAATATGTTTTAGGTATGACCCGTGATGACCTTTTCAACACCAATGCAAGCATTGTGGCTAATTTGACATCTGCCTGTGCAAAGCACTGTCCAGAAGCCATGATCTGTATTATTTCTAACCCGGTAAGGATGTTCCAGAGATCTGGAATATGTAGAGAAAACCCAGGCTCTGAGTACTAGAGTAACACAGTTCCTTTTGTGACATTCACTAGTGTTTTCTTGACTCTAATCTTCAAGATCTGTAGAGTATTCACAGCAGGGTGTGTCGGGGGAAAAACCCTTAAAGCTTGGTTCTAATTACCAGTTTACCAGTTTGCCTTTGTCCATATTGAAGTTAAATTTGCCCTGGGTATAAAAATGCTTACTTTAATCAACCTCTAGATTACTGTGGTTATAATATGTACTGGCATATTAGCTGAAATAGAGCTCATTAGGGGAGGCGCCTTTAAAATGTGAATGAACAAGTTATTTTCTTGATGATTATTTCAAATGGAGGAGTTAATCCAGCCTGGCTCTAAATTGCTCTTTAATTTAGAGACTGAAATAACTGGTTACAGAAGACTTCAAGCTTGAAGTTTACTTTGGGTTGTTTACTAGCTTGTGCAGTTTATGCATTGGCTTAATTATTATGTTCTTAATAAGTATTTGCCTACTTTTGCTTATAGGTAAATTCAACCATCCCCATAACTTCAGAAATCTTCAAGAAGCATGGTGTATATAATCCCAACAAAATTTTTGGTGTTACAACACTGGACATTGTCAGAGCAAACACTTTTGTGGCTGAGCTAAAGGTAGGTCATAGTAACAGATCCTGGAGGAGGGATGCTGTATGCTTCTGTCATCAAATCTATCAAAATGCTTTTTAAATCACTGGACAGACCTGACGTAGCTCAGATTTCTCCAGAGCTGGAGGTGAAGGCAACACTTCCCACTTTCTATTCTTTGGATGAACTTGGGGATAGGGTTTCTGTCTTGCAAAATTCACTTCAGGACACTTTGACCTTCCATTTTCATAGCTGTCCTTTGAGTGAGCTATGTGTCTGCCTTAATTCTGTTGGCGTTTTTAACTCTTGGTGCAAGCAGAGAAGGTTGCACTGTAGTGCATCTCTGCAAGGAAGGTGCCCGCTGTTATAAAATGTTTTGTACAGTACTAGGAGGTGTAATAAAATGACTGGTGGAGTTTATAGTTTTGCTGTTATTTTTGTGAACTTATGTTAATACCATTTTATAACTTGTCATCAGGATAACATGGAGTTTAACAGCATAGAGTTAGCTTTGTCCCTGGAGTGTAACTTCGTGTGAAACTTCTATTCTGTATATTACCATTGACTTATAGATCTGTCCACATACCTAGGGCAAAGAATGAAGTGTGATGGCTTTTTTAACCATATGCTTCAGAAAGTGAAGTTTCATGTTTTCTTTAGGGTTTAGATCCAGCTCGTGTAAGTGTCCCAGTTATTGGTGGCCATGCAGGGAAGACTATCATCCCTCTCATCTCTCAGGTAGGTCATAGTGCCTCTTGTGTGTTCTTGCACTATGTGCTGTTCCTCATCAGGATGTAAGAGTTGATGTGAAGCGCCTTGGTCATGGCACGTAACCTCCTAGGGTGCAGCACACACAATCATCCCTGCTTTTGTGTGGATGCTTTTTCTCTGAGATGAGGTGCAAGACTTTGAATGCTTATGAGCTAAATCTGAACTC